GGGCTCCACTTATGCCAAAGGGACCAACATATTTGACGAAATGTGATAAAGTAATACGAAACTCGAGTTTCAAAGTGTTGAATAACGCAATTTACATTTCAAGACAAAGACATTGCAAAACATAAGCTTGGAGACAACAGCGTTTTGTAAAAGAAAAAAAAAAAACCGAATAATACAAAAATAGATTATAAAAAAATAAATCTGGAATACGGTATACGGTAATACCTTGACAGAAGAGCTAGCCATAGCTTTGTAGGTTTGTTGCTGTTTGCAAAACGGAAATTAAAAATAAAAAAGATTCTGTAGGTTGCTGCCAGCTGCTGGCACCTCCAAGGCTCCAACGGCTAGTTTGAAAGATGACCACTCAACGGTCTCTAACCCCTATCTGCCAAAAAGTGCATTTTTGCTTACCACCATTTACATGGTGTATACTTATTATTATATTTATCATCGTTAAATGAGTTTAAATAGTGAGATTTGTGTAGCACAAACATAAATCTCAACATTCAAACTTATTTAACGGTAATAAATAGGATGGTGAGCATACACTATGTAAATGGTGGTGAGCAAAAATGCTCCCATCTGCCAAATAGACCAAAAGAATCATATATGTATGTTTTGGGGCCATGATCTAATTTTTTTAAGAAATTGTATTATTAATGTTGGGTTTTTGTTTATCTTCAGTTAAAATAATATTTATAATACTCAATAGACTATTAAAAACTAATAAAATTTTTAATCATTTAGGAATTGTGTTAATTAAATACCTTCACAATTCATTCTAAGAGACACATGGATCGTACCATTTGATCTATTGTTATATGCTTTTTTCTGGGAGTTGCAGAGGGAGGTAGGTCGGACATATGTTTTTTTTTTGTCAAACGATTGTTATATTAGATATTACAAAGTTGATGGGGTTTGAACTCATTTAGTAGTGTAAAAGCAACACTCCTCTTTAGTACTGTGGTAGAGGGCCACTTCCAGGTGAACTTATTTATGTTGAAGGGCACACACACAAAGGAGGAGGGGATCAACTAATCCTTTATGGGTGTGTTTATTTGGCTTCATTAAGTTTCACTGGATTGGACAAGATTATATATTAGTATAGGCATGTGTTTGTTATAGACAAGACTAAATTTAATGGGATAAAGGAGGACTTGCCTTGACTAAATCCCTCATTAGAAGGTCTTAGCAAGCCGCCCCCCCCCCCCAACCAACATAAGTAGCATCAGCACCCCTTCTCCAATGACCAAACGAAAAACAGCTGGAAGGATTCTACAATTTTTTGCTCGCCACCATTTACATAGTGTATGCTCACCAAAGAGTGAATTTTTGCTTGCCACCATTTACGTGGTGTATGCTCACCATCCTATTTATCACCGTTAGATGAGTTTGAATGTTGAGATTTGTGTAGCACATACACAAATCTCAACATTCAAACTCATTTAACGGTGATAAATAGATGTAAATGGTGGTGAGCAAAAATGCTCCCATCTGCCAAATAGACCAAAAGAATCATATATGTATGTTTTGGGGCCATGATCTAATTTTTTTAGGAAATTGTATTATTAATGTTGGGTTTTTGTTTATCTTCAGTTAAAATAATATTTATAATACTCTATAGACTATTAAAAACTAATAAATTTTTTGATCATTTAGGAATTGAGTTAATTAAATACCTTCACAATTCATTCCAAGAGACACATGGATCGTACCATTTGATCTATTGTTATATGCTTTTTCTGGGAGTTGAAGAGGGACAAGGATTGTCTACCCTCCTACTTCCGGTGCCCTCTGTTTTGTGTAGTCACGGTTAAGCCACATCAACATTTTATATTGTTTTCTTTATAGAGATAATAAGACAAAAATGAATAGTAATATAAAATGTTGACATGGCTTAATCGTGACCACACAAACAGGAGGGTACGAGAGAGCACCGAAAGTGGGAGGGCATACAATCCTTGTCCGTTGAAGAGGGAGGTAGGTCGGACATATGTTTTTTTTTTTTTGGTCAAACAATTGTTATATTAGATATTAAATTAGAGAGCTAATGGGGTTTGAACTCATTTAGTAGTGCAAGAGCAACATTCCTCTTTAGTACTATGGTAGATGGCCACTTGCAGGTGAACTTATGTTGAAGGGCACACACACAAAGGAGGAGGGGATCAACTAATCCTTTATGGGTGTGTTTGTTTGGCGTCATTAAGTTTCACTGGATTGGAGAAGATTATATATTAGTATAGGCATGTGTTTGTTATAGACAAGACTAAATTTAATGGGATAAAGGAGGACTCACCTTAACTAAATCCCTCATTAGAAGGTCTTAGCAAGGCCCCCCAAAAACAACGGGATTGATAGTCTCGTCTCCTTCGTCTGCAAGTGTCCCACAAACCAACATGAGTAGCATCAGCACCTCTTCTCCAATGACCAAACCAAAAACAGCTGTCGCCGATCTCCATCGCCACAAACCCAGTGTTTTTTTTGGCATCTAGGTCGGGGATTTGGGTTATTTCGCCATTTGGGTCGACCCAAACGACGACAAAGACGGGTTTTTTGCTACATCTGCTACGTTTTGCCCCTCCCATCTCATTTTTCCTTGCATCCCACAACCAGAAAATCTAACCCATAAAACCCAAAAAAATTATGTGGGATGAGCTTGAATCAACTATGGGATTGATGTGGAAAGCAAACCAAACCCAGAAAACATAAAAATCCCTGATCACAGATCTTCCCTATCTTTCACCTTTGAGCCAATTACACATACACCCCACCCAACTCCTTAATTTTCACTCTATTTTGCTCTGTGGTTTGTTTTTGAAGACATGCAGTCGATTATGAAGTTGTGAGAGGAAGTGAATGGGTGAGATGGTGGGGGAGAAGGAGTTGGACTGGAAAGGAAAAGGAAAGAGATGGGGAAAAAGGAAGAAATATAGTTTGACCAAAGAAAAAGGGAGAGATAGAGTGAGTTCTCGAAAATGAAAAAAACAAAAACAAAAAAGAAAAAAAAATTGATTTTCATTATCTTGCTTTTTAGTTCGAGACTATACCAAACACTTTACTAAGTTAGTCCAACTTAGTCTATTTTAAGCCAGTCCAACTTAATCCCTAAAACTAATTTAGTCTGAGATAGTCCCCCCAAAAGTTTGAAGGAATATGCCTGCATGGACTTGGTTGTTACCTTGTGTACTTGGCGCTGTGGTGGCAACATTTTCCCTTTTTATTGTTTTATCTTTTTCATCATGTGTATCAATCCATATAAGTTAGGGGTAGGCAAACGGGCTTTGGACTCAAGGGTTGGGATGGGTCCAAATAAGTGGGAAAACGGGTCCTTGATGCTAACCCTTTGTCTCTTAGTGTATGCTGTCAGTTAGTCTCTTTCTCAGTCTGTCGACTCTTAATCTCTCAGACCCAAATTCGTAGTGCAACTTCGTCGTCTCAAGTCTTCACCCCTTTGCAAGATTTGTACACCTATGCATCCATAAGAATCGGCCCATTATGGGCGAGGTTAGATTCGGTTTCATTTTTAAAATAACACGATCCACTCCGTCTCGTCCCGTTTCATTTAGATTCGGTTTCATTTTTAAAATAACACGATCCACTCCGTCTTGTCCCATTTCATTTTCAAACGGGTTTGGTCCCTTCAATTTTGGTTGGTGGCTTAGCACCTCCGAATCGATTAAACATATAAATTTTTGCACTATATTTGGTAGTCCAATAATTTTTTTTTTTTTTTAACAAACGATATAAGCTACATTAAGGGGGGAAAAGATAGGTTTAGCTTTGCAATGGGCTAGAAATATTGTGGTTCAAAATTGTTTTTGGCAAAAATCAAACCTAAGACCTCTTACTTACCAGTGAAAAGGAATACTACTAGACTGTAGTACTAAATGGCGACACTCCAAATATTTAAACACATTCTATTGTTTGTTTGTTTGTTTTTTTTTTTTTTTTTTTCATTTGTGGGTTCCTAATTTGTTTTATTGGATATTATTTTTCTCTTTTTACTTGGACACAAGTAAATACTAAATAGAGAAGTCACCGATGTTTATAAATACATAATTCGTTAAAAAGGTTGCGGGGCGTAGCCGCGCCAATTCACTTTTTACTTTTTTTTTGGTTTTTTTTTAAGTGGGGACTACAAGTGAAAAAAGTCAGGATTTTGAGCATATCTAATTGAGTCTTTAAATTAGAATAACCATCGTAATAAAATATAAAATAAATATTGGGACCAAATAAATTCAAATGGATTAGAAAGTGAGTTCTTAAAGTATAGGAACTCACCGGATACTTAGTGTATATAACCATATACAGGGACTGTATAAAGCATCTCCAAAACCACCACTTTTGAGTACTCATTTAAGGACTTAAAAGAGAATATTTGTGTCTCTAAACGAATCGCTTCTAATTAACGAGTCCTTATAGTAAAATCCCAAATTTAAGGTTTTTATGATTTTATGTGAAAATTTGATTAGGTTTACAGTGAAATTTGAAACAATTGATGCTTTTAATTGTGACAAAAAAAATAGATAAAAACGGTGCGTCTCGAAAATTAATGACCATTACTAATAGTCATATGACTTGTGATTTGGGCAAATCTTTTTATAAACCAGCTATGAATAACACCTCAGAAATTAAACGATTTGGATCATTAAGTCGAGATGGAGTTAAAATAAAACTGATTTTTACTTCATTCTAACCGGACTATATAAACTAATAAAAGTCGAATTGGGATTAAGTCGACCTGAGTTATCGAACCCGAATTAAAAATTAAAAAATGGGCGGCGCACCGCAACAAGGGCGCGTGTTTGACACTAACAACAGACAATCCAACGTCTTTTTCATTATTTATTCCCTTCTTTTCAAACGTTGCGGGGTTTTATTTTAAATTTTAGAGTATTTTATAATTAATTTAAAAGTAAGTCAGTAAAATTTGAATTATTTGTCTAAATAATAATTCAATATATATTTTTTTTCCTTCCTCAAATTCAACCCCTTCAATCATTTCAAGGACAAATCGCTCTCTCTCTCTCTCGAGCACGCACAGTCTCTATCTCTCTGCTCTTTGCATCGCGGCCCTTAGAGCCCTCAACCATCGCCTTGAAGGACAGCAATCGACCTAGTTTTTTTTGGCGATTTCTCATCTGGGTCCGGTACATTTTTTTCTTTGGTTTGTGTTTCCGCTTTCAATCTGTTTTTCTGGACGGTCAGTTTGGTCAATTTGGTGTTTCTTGTATGCCTTTGTGTTCTTGATTGTTGAGTTGTATGGTTTTGATTTTGTTTCTTGAGTAAATACATATCAATCTGTAATTTGTATTTTGTGAAATGGGAAAAAAGGGGGATTTTTGGGCATCAGGGTTTTGGTACTTTGATCTGATTTAGGTTTTCTCCTTTGAGGTGCTTTTCTTGCTTTCTGGGCAACAGGGTTGTTGTTCCCGTGGGTGTTAGCTTGAAAGATAAAGCTTTCTCCTTTCTATCTCATAGAAAAGATGAGCAATTTGGGTTTTGTTGACTTTATCATATTTGTATGGATATTGATTTGAAGTGAGTGAGCTGGTTTTGTTAATGCCTTTAGGTCTTAGTGGATTTCAGGATTTAGCTGTTCATCGCTCGTGTTTTAGAGGTTTCAAAAGTTATAATAGGCTAGCTTTTGCACTTCTCATGACTTTTTGTCGTCTTCGTTCGTTGAACGCGCTGTCGTGTTTGTCTTAAGTTTTAGCTTGAAGTAATCATGCCTGTAATTGGATTGTAATGACTAATGATTTTTGTCTTTGTGAACATTTCTTTCAAACATATCTTGTTTCCAGAGCTGTATTGATTTATATTTTTGTAAATATAGCAATTGGAGAAAAACAGGCCCAATCTCGTTTGCAGCTTTCCAAACCATTGATCCCCTAACTGACACTCAGACAACCTTAGAAAGCCAAAACAGTTTCGTGATGTCATGCTCAAATCATCTGAACTATGCCTTTATCAGGAAACTAAGTGGTCTGCTTTAGTTTTGCAAAGGAAAGTTAGGAAATGAGAATGTAGAAAAAAATAGGGTACAAGACGAAAAAGTGAGGGGAGAGGACTTAATTGTTGCGTGTTTGAAATCAAGTCAAATTTGATCTGTGAAGTTAGGGGAGAGGACTTCAGTTGTAATTGTAAGGGACATATACAGGATTGGATTGATAGTTATGAGGAATTTATGCTGCACAATCCTTTATGGAGGTAATGTCATGTCCAATATAATCATATTACTTTGGAACCTTCATAATCAATCAAACTATATCGTTCGATTGATTGGCTCTTGGTATCCAGACTCTTGCACGGGCCAAACAGTTTTTGCAAAATATGTTCATATGTTAGTCACGTATGTGGTCTCAGTTATTCTTAAACTCTACCAACCTACTTGCCCGCTGTGTGCATTACAGTTTCTATGTTATTGTTGGCAATCAAATGCTAATAATACTCTGTTTAACTTTTGAGAGGCAAGGGTTTGTGCCTCGTGGTTGTTTATTAGTCTTCTATTTTTCATTATGAGACATGACTGATCTTACTTCTACTTTCCTAATTTTTCATATTAAATGTTAGTTTGTTATTGCAGGTATATCCGCTTACAACTTGCCATATTCTAGCACTCTAATCAGTGCAGCTGGGAATTTTGTGGCACATAAATAAGCTGAGTTGCTGGTTCCCTTTTGGTAGCCAACATTTCTTGAGGACTTCATTCCTTTTTTTCTTATGGTAATGTTCTGTCTCTGTACATAAAAATTCATTCTTTTGGTCTTCATCATTGCTTAACTATAATAAAATATAACATGATAGTTATATGGACTAGTATGGTCCGGTCCATACACTGGCACTGGACTATTAAAGGCAGATAGATCTTTTAACGGCATGCCTATTCTCACCCAAAACTAATTTGAGATTTATTTTCATTCTACTTTTAAGGGTAGATGATGGTTTAACAATCAACATCAATATGTATGCATGGAACTCCATTCCTGGAGTAAATAACTAATCCTTGTAATATTGAAACATCGCCACGGGAATATAGCAGTTCAGAGTTTATATGCACAAATTGTTTGTTTTGTTTATATGGAGTCTATCTTTCTCCTTTGAAACAAATGGATTGTCACGATTGTTCTTCGCTACAAGTTTGCACCTGATGAATTCTTCTTTTTTTTCCTTTCAAACTCTTCTTACAATTCTTTTGGTCATGTTAACATTTCAGGCTACGAATGAAAATCTCCCACCAAATGTAATTAAGCAACTTGCGAAGGAATTGAAGAGTCTTGATGAATCCCCTCCTGAAGGCATAAAAGTTGGTGTTAACGATGATGATTTTTCAATCATATATGCTGATATTGAAGGGCCAGGCATGTACAATTATTTCTTGGCGTAAACTGTAATTTGCTTCTGCAGCTTTTGAATAATTTTGAGATGATTACTGAGCTACGATCTTGGCCTTTGCAGCTGGTACTCCTTACGAGAATGGTGTTTTCCGCATGAAGTTGGTATTGTCTCGGGACTTTCCACACTCTCCTCCGAAAGGTTGGTTTGACTATGTTTTATCATAATTGACATAATCGATAACACTATCATTTAAGTGGACATGTCATATTTCTGTTGCCTCATTCTGTTTGGAAGCATGACCATACAACTGAAGAAAGGTTTTTGTTGATGGAAGGCTTGATATCATTTAACTCTTTAGTCCCTATGTGGATTATAATTTCTGGAATATAATTGTTGTAGGCTACTTCCTGACTAAGATTTTCCATCCAAACATTGCGACTAACGGTGAGATTTGTGTCAACACCTTGAAAAAAGATTGGAATCCAAGTCTTGGATTGCGACATGTTCTGATTGTAAGTTCCCTTGATGGTTGTTGACTTTCTTTCATTTATGCTTATTCATCTGAGATATTTGTGTTCCCTTACAAACTCTAGTTGGTCTTGGCTTCGTGCTTTGTGATAACAGGTAGTCAGATGTCTATTGATTGAACCATTTCCAGAATCAGCGTTGAATGAACAGGCAGGCAAGATGCTGCTTGAAAATTATGAGGAGTATGCAAGACTTGCAAGGTGAGTTATAGTCGTGGTGTTATCTGCTTCTTGTTCAGGTGACTGGAGCAGGGGAAGTTTATATGTAAACATTTGCATGCCTGGTCTTTTCAGTTGCTTATGAATAGAAAATGAAAGATACATATGCCGACTATAGATAATATTGTTGCATGACTATCAAACTTAAGTAGACTTCATCTTTTGCATGTAGGCTTTATACTGGAATCCATGCAAAGCCGAAACCCAAGTTTAAAACGGGAGCTATTTCAGAGTCGACAACTGCACTGAATGTTGAACAAACTAACACTTCGACACTGAATGCTGATCAAAAGAACACAGCACCTGGTGCTGCCTTGCCAGTGATTTCTGCATCCCCATCCCCACTGGTGCCTATTACGGTCACCACTAGAGGAAACGGGCAGGATCAGCCAGCCGTTGTAGCTCCAATGGAGACTGGAGTAAGTGGGTCTGCTGCCGCTGCATCAGCTGTAGCAACTACTACAGTGAGGAAAGATGGCGGATTGACAAAAGCACAGGCGGACAAGAAGAAAATAGATGCGAGAAAGAAGAGTTTGAAGAGATTATGAAGTTAAGAGGGATAAATGATCGATTGAAACTTGTGTTATGCAGTTTGTGACTTATTTGTCCTTGTTGTAGCTCCAAAGAGCCGAAACGTGTGTAAGAAATACATGAATTTGGGAAAAGTGATGGATTAAATTTACCAGCCTTCCTCTTCATTTGGGAAATACATGAATTTGGCAAATATGTTTTGGTTTAAATTGCAGTTCAACCTGTCATCTTACCCGTAACTCGCTCTTGAAAACCTGGATGGACCTGTTGGTTTTTAAGTTTATTATTTTAAAAAATAATGGTTTATCATTTAATTATTTTACAATGAAAAAGTATACTAATTTCATATGAGCTGCAATGAGCGGGAATCAAACTCAAGTGTAAAGAGGGGAGCATGATGTTTTAGTTAATTTAGCTAAACTTAAATTTCCGTTTCAAAAATACAATGCAATTTCTTAAAACATCTCCAAAGGAGATGTCAAATCCTAACTGTAGATATGACTGCATATTTGACATAAAAAATCCTTTAAACCGAAATGTTACTTACTGATTGTATTTGAAGCCCTTGTGTTTAGGAGTTAAATTTGACCAATCAATATCAAATTTGTTTTTTATTAGTTTAATGTGGGTCTCTTATTCTGCTAACATTTCAACACATAAATTTTGTTTCAACAATTTTTTAACAAATACAACCATCTAAAGTTATACTTTAATGAAAAAATAATATTTGATAACCCAATTAAAGAAACATATAATTTGATATAATACTTCAAATTATCATATCAGCTATTAATTGCAATTCGACTTCTATCATGCTTGTGTTTTAACTTCGTATTCAAATCTCAAATTCCCAAAATAAAAAAAAAAGAAAAAGAAAAAGAAAAACACATTTACAGCTTTATTAGGACACACGAATCAACCTAACAAAAACAAATTCACAACACCCACCTGAAAGAAAGTTAAAGTTAAAACAAAGTAAGTCAAGACGCAAGAACCCAGGCAACTTTTTCCATAAACGACAAGTACATATTTCCCGCTGGTGGAAAATTCTGAAATAGATGGCATCTTCCGACTCCCTTTTTTTATGAGTGGTTTCAATTTGGTCAGGTAAAAATATCATTTTGCTCAATTATTCAGATCCTTTTGTTTTAGCACTCCATGCAAATACTGGTCAGTCAAGTGCATTCTCGCTAACCACCACAAAGTATAATCACTTCTCTATTAACTAACGTAGAATCAATTAAAACTCAAAAAGTTAAGTGTAGTAGATACATTAATTCACACTCTTCCTGATAACTAATTTAGTGATAGGGCACATTACTGCTTCCAAAGGATGCCCTCGATATTGTAGTTTGCAGTTGTCTCTTGTGGTGGATAATGGATTAGAGGATGACATTGTTTTCACTTCAACAAGTACTTATTTATGTGATTAGAGGATGCGCTTTTCCTTTTCATGCTTTGCTTGGTTTTTGCAAGGTACATATACTTTCACTCTTCTAAAAATTCCCTTCTACCATCGCTTAGACCCTATTTAGGCGCTAGATGGATGGATACCGTCCTAAGTAATTCTTAGGCATTTGAAAATTAAGAAAGTGCTTTTAAACCCACTTAGGCGTTTGCCTAGCCAGCTTAGGTGTCTGCCTAGACCCACCTAAGCACCGCCCAAGTCATAACTCTGACTTAGACAGAAAACCGATAACTTTCATTTTGCATTTTAATTTGTCAATAAAATACAAGAGACTTGTTGAATACTTGGATCAACACTCATCATATGCTTGTTCCTCATGTTTTCAATATGTTCTAATACTTTATAATTTATGTCATTTTATTTTGTAATTTATGCATCCTAATATAATTATGTGTTTTTTAAGTATAAAAATATACTTATTTGTACAGTATATATATTAAATTTATTTAAATATGCCTTGTCCGCCTAATCCCTCCGCCTAGCTACCTAGGTGCTAGACTTGAGCCCGTCTCCTGACTAAGTGCCTAACGTCTTTTAGAACCTTGTATATTCTATGATTCTTTTACTTTCTTGGGAGGTATATCTTTGGATTTTCATTTCAACTTTATCTAACAAACAACGAGGGCCTTCTCTTCACCCTATAAATACATGATTCCACAACACTCATAAACCACCACCTTCTACCACAATTTCACACCACACCATCCACTACACCTCAAGAGTCTAAATTCACACAAATCCCCATTGTGCGCAGCAAGGAAGGAAGGAGGAGCCACCTGGAGTGTTTCTAGGTGTATTCTATAAGGAGGAGCCACCTGGAGTGTTTCTAGGTGTATTCTATCTTTGTTTTTAATGTTTAAGTTTAATTATCTTTGTTTTGCGAACATGAGGAGCTAAACTTGTTTTAGCTAGAGGAGACTTTGAAACCATGATTATATTTGCAACATGAATTGATTACTTTCAGTTGTGATTTCATAAATTGTGAATACAATTTACTTAACTGTTTGATTAAGAACTTATTCTTGTGTGCTGATTAAGAGGGCCCGCTTAATTTGCATGCATGAATTTGATGCTAGAATATAAAGGAGTTTCACCTAATCGTTATGAACTTATATTCATAAGTAGTGGAGGTTGCCAGTCACAATCATGTTAAGTAAATTCTTGGCAGGAGTATCATGCTGTTCATAGTTACAAATGCTTTGTCAATGCTTGTGATTTTCACAAAGCTTAATGATCTTTTGATATGTATCTCTATCATGCGTTTCATATAAGGAACTTGAGAAAGATAATTTGGTTGTAATGCGTATTCATTCAATTCAATGAAATAAGGAAAATCTGATGGTTGGTTGTGCGATGCAATTAACTTGGGGCATTGTCATTCATGGTTTAAAGGAATAATAACTGGAAATCGATTTGTATGCATGTGTGTCATGTGTGGAGAAGGACCCTCTAGCTACCCATTCACCCATATTTCACCCAATTTCGTCCAAGTTGTTTAAGAGTCTTTAATCTGCTTGTCCTTACTTTAATTTCGTCCAAAATCCAATCCCCCTTTACTTGGTTGTGTGTTTTAGTTAGAATTGTCCAAATTTATGTTTTTAAGTGTTTTGAGTCAAAGATAAGTTAGAATTTGTCCAAATCACCCTTTAGAGTTTAGTTTGAGTCTATTTGATTGTTTTGTGCTGTTTTGAATCTTTTTAGTTTGTTTTGAGTCATGTAAGTCTAGTTAAGTGTTTTTTTAAGTTTAGCTTTGTGTTGTTAAGTCAGTTTAGAGTAGATTAGCATCCCTTCTAATCCCCGGCCTAAAACGATCCCTACTTTCATATACTTCAATCATTGGGTTTTAATTTGAATGTTAGAATATTTCACATCAATTTGGTTTTGAAATGCGTTATGGGATAGCTTTAGGATGGATGTTAGTTAAAGGCCTAAAAGACACGTTGAAGTTGAAGTGCAAGTTTTGGGAATGCAATGTTAAAAGCACTTCATAGGAGCTAAATACTGGTTAAATCTTAAATCCACCTTCCGAGGACCTTGCCTCCGTATTTGACAACCCTCTCATCATAAGGCATCCACAAGGCCATACTGCTCCAAGGCTAGGTTGGTTTAAGCTGGTTTTTGGTGCATATACATTCACAACACACTTTCACACACGTCTATCGTTGCGAAAATGGCCTCAACCTGAACTGGGTTTTGGTGTTTGTAAACAGATGAAGCAGCATTTGAGCAACCACGCGGTTCAACTACGGCAATCATCCAAGGCAATACTACTGCTTCAGATGGTAAGCATCAACTTGAGAACGGTGAAGCCAGAGAAAAACATAACGGCACAGATCTCATTCAATGCAATAACGCTACGTTAGACAGTAAGCATGATTTGGAGAATGGAGACACCAAAGAAAAGATGTTTGGAACAGATCCAGTAGTTGCAGAAATTAAGATCCAACACCAGGAAACAAGCACTGCAGTTGACATAAAAAACAAATGAAAGAAAAGTCGAGGTTGTGGAGGCAACCCAAGCATGAAGATCTCAAACACCAAGAGCTGTTTTACTTGTAACTAAACATGTACAACGTACTATTAACATGCAAGTAGCATTTCGTTCAAGTTGACCTTACGAAAACAACATGAACAATCCGGTGAACAGTTTTACGAATACTGGATTACCAAGGCTGTCTTACTTGCAATTAAACATATACAACATACAATTAACATACACAAGTAGCATAAGCATTTGGTTCAAGTAGGCCTTACAGAAACCGCATCAGCAATTTCCGTCATCCACCAGCAAGTGAAAATACTCACTGCCATTAGCAAACTCTTCACCATGTGCAGCCTTGCAATGCAGGTACAATCACTCCAAAAAGCACTGCAAGTCCCCAATTCTTCCACCCAGTAGCCTCATTCAACCCCATTTCCAAAACCCAGCTACACACCCCAAAAACCCCAGATACACACTCAAAAACCAGCATCAAACATACCTCAATCCTCCTTGTTCCATTGACACACCCTCACGCTTCGAATCAAGGAATCGAAATCCTAAGGGGATTCCAGTACAACCACTGGACCCAGAGTCCAGAATGAGTGAGTACCTGATCCAATGATGATTCTGTGTATTTGTTGAAACACATTCTCTCCTGCACATTTTTTTTTTCACAATGGAAGCTGATTATTTCTGCTTTCCCTCTCAGACAAATTTTATGAATGGTCAAATTTATTTATCTAATTAATTATAAATTGTACTCGAAATAAGGTTCCCTAGTCAGCATAAATATAACCTACCCATAAAACAAACAAAACATACAAGATTAGATCAAACATCATGATATCTGAAAGCACAAACCTGAAGAGCAGCACTACCCACCTCCAATTATCGATCGACTTGCTATCTTACGTCTCCCCCTGCACTAATAACCCGATCACTCTCCACGAGACAGCTCGCAATGTGATCCTATTCTGAGGAATAAAACCCTGTACTAAACCAGAACGACCAAACAGGAATGTATCAAGTCCTAGTCACCTTGCTTAGAACAAAGGGGTGGCCAGCCCAGCACCACACACTATTGTCCTGCAATCTCCTGCATTAGCCACAAAAAAAGTTTGTTTCTAGCAATAAGAGCAGCAGCTGCAGTGCAACCAGGGTGCCAATCCTTCTGGATAACTCTCTTGGATTTCCGGTATAAACC